ATACAGAGCGTTCAACAATGATTGTAAGGTGTTTGAATTTGGCGCGCTTGACTTTTAGTAACATTTGACAAACAACATTGGTACCGGCTGACGTTTTCGACGTATTTTTAACAATCAGTGGCGTGGTATGTTTTAATTGCTTTCGAGTTAACAAGTTTCAATATTTATTATGACAAAATGTGAATAAATATTAATTGATTTCATACACATTTTTAAATTTTGTTAGTAAAGTTACACATTGATAAATTGGAAACAAAAATTTTTTAACCTCATAAATTTTTTAATGCCTTCGAAATTTTTCCTATGATACGCCTATGTTTATTAATTTTCTCATACCAACCTTAAAAATTAAACGCAAAAGCGGGAAATTCAAAACCTTACAATCATTGTTGAACGCTCTGTACAAGGAAGTATAAAATACTTGTTGGTGGGTGTCGAAATAGTATTATTAGCTTATAAACACACTGAGGTTATTTGATAATGTCAAAATAACACGCTTGCTTTAGGGTGGGTGTGTGGCTTTCTGTGGGGGTAGAGGAAGCGCCCCATCGACTGTTTGCCTTCTCGTGGCACCACTGGAGGTGTGGCTCCCACTACTCCACTATTCAAGCTGTTTTGGCTAAGAACTTGCACAGAAGGGTAACGTCGCCAGCTGCTGTTTGCAGCCACTGTTATATCATGGGCTGGAATCCAGCACGGGGGATCTTAGCTTAATCGCCCGGATCGAGAGGAGACAACCTCATTAAAAACCCCAAAGTCAAGGTGGAACAGCTTATGCCGAAGTTTTATCGCTTTACTGCGTTGGCCAAGAGGGAAATATTTGGTTCCTAATAAGCGGACTCTGGATACCTGGGGACCTCCAGTTTCAACAAAATCCCCTTACTAGCTACTTGTGGGACATCTATGGAACTGAGTAAAGAAACTATAAAAGAGATTGATGCAACTCCGAACGCATCAAGGCAGAAATTACCTTCAACAAGTGGAAGCGCAGAGGATCTTACAATGTCCTCCGCTTCCTACACAGCTAGTAGTGTCTCAACAACAGAGACTATCAAACTTCAGGAAAACATTGAGAAGCTCCAAGTTAACGAAAAGAAACTAAGCGGTGCTGCTAGAAAAAACCCTAAGTGGCTGCTCAAACAAGGGTTTTAACAAGCCTATAAGTGAGGAGGAGAAGAGGGTCAAAAGACCTTGCTCCAGAAGCACAACGCCAAAGTTTCCACAGGAACAAAAGCCTACAACGTAAAAAGATGGGAATTGCAGATTCCCTATTTCCAGAGGTGAACCTCACAACAGCCGAAATGTAGGCTATTCAAGAGGTTATCATCTCAAGAATAGTGGAACTGAGCAAGGGACACGAGGCGAGATCAAGCCTAAATTCCTCGGCACCACGTTTAAGGCAGGTTGGCTGGTGGTTCACTGCGAGAACCAGGGGACAGTGGATTGGCTAAAGTCAATAACACCAACCCTACAATCATGGGAGGGGGCAACCCTAATGGCCATTGCATTCTAAAGATTGTTAAAGGTCAAAACGAAGGCCTGAACACCAATGGAAGGTGCTCAAAAGTATAACCGACGGCAGCAGTGCCTTTCTTACGCTATCCGTTGATTAGCGCTCTATAGAGAGCCTTAAAAAAGCTAACTGTAAGATCAGTTACAAGTTTGGGCAAATCAACCTGAGGCCAAAGAGCGGCAAGCGTACGATGCAGAAGGAAGAACCCGAACCGAAACCAGGAACCTCCGGAACCTCCGGAACCTCCAAGGACCCCACGAAGGGTACAGGAAAGGTAAGCTCTGAAAGTAAGGGTAAAGACAAAACTGAACTCGACAAAAAGTAATGGCGGAAGTAGGCTTCATCCAAGCCAACATCCAGTACTATAAAAGCGCCTCCGACGTGCTGGTTAAGGGCTACCACAGCCCCAACACCCATCTTGCGCTGGTGCCTTACTGGTTTAGTGGCCAAAAACAAAGCATAAGACAGCACAACAACAGCTGGCACAAATTCAGCGGTTAGGATGTCCTAATATAACGGGTGCAATGAGATCTTGTCCGACGGTTGCTCTTGATGCCCCACTCGGTCTCACACCATTTTATTTATATGTATATTCAAACGAAGGCAGCTTTAAGTGCCTTATCACTGAAAACATGCTCTTCACTCAAGCTGGTGCAGGATAACCTCAGAGGTCGCCTAGAAATCCTCAAGAACCCCATGTCTAAATCACTTGATTGAAATTAAAACGGACCTTATACCGACAGAATACAATTTCGACCAGCCGTATAGGGTCATATTTAGAAGCAGGGATGATTGGACGAAGGGTGGGCCTCAACTAAAAAGAGGAGCCATTGCCTGGTACACCGATGCTTCAAAGACAGTTGGATCCGATTGGGCATTAGTGGACCAAATAGCCACATTAAATTGCGCCTTAGCTCGGACATAACCATTTTTCAAACAGAAGTTCTTGCTATAAAGCCTACACGTGTGATTCTGCACTGATCAGAGAGTGTACCAGCAACATGAGAGAACTCGCTAGGGGCAATGATATTACTCTATGGTGGATTCCAGGTCACAGCAACATTGAGGGCAATGAAAAGGCGGACAAGCTGGCCAAAGAGGCAGCGAACACGCCCTTCATTGGACCTCAATCTGGTTGTGGACTATACAAAAGCCACCTAAATCAAATAATCAACAACTGGGAGGTTTCAAAGGTAGTCTTACGCTGGAAAGAACTTCCAGGTCACAGACAAGCGAAGAGTATGATAACTCCGTCGCAAAACAAAACCAAAGAGGGGATTTATGCCTCAGTAAAGGTGATCTAAGGACGCTCTCAGGTTTTCTGGCCGGCCATGTGCCCCTAAAATACCACCTCTTCTACATTTTACAAGCTGAGGATCAAACTTGTCGACTGCATTGCATTGCCAGAGGCCGCCTAAACACAAAATTTTCGTTAAGCTCTTTTGACACCTACCGACATAAAGAAACAAGACCTTGGAGCAATATTAAGGTTTATTAAGGATCTACATTTGCTACTATATTTGATGGTCTTTAAGGTGGTAATTGTACTAAATATTTGGAGGGTTAAAGTTACAATAGATCTTATAGGTCGCGGTGACGAGACGGGCCGCTCATCTCAGCCCGGCAGCAATAATAATAACAATAATAGAGATACAAGGAAATAGAAAAAGTGATTGGTGTATGTTAAAATGGTATTAATTGATTAGAAACACACTGAGGTTATTTGATAAAGACAAAGCAAGTTAATAATGTAAAACAGATGTTTTCCAAAAAATTTAAAGACTCTAGAATATGGAAAAGCTTATTGGTATAAATCAAATTGCCTCCAAACGGTGAAAATCACTGTCTAGAATCCTTTTTGAGAATGAAAGAATAAGAATAAATTGATTTTGATGTGTTTGGCGGTGTTTCAAAGATACATTTAAATAGAAGACGCTTGTTAGTGTGTCGAAATGGTATAAATCGATTAGAAGCACACTGGGATTAGCTGATTACAAAACAAAATAAGTTAACAATATTAAAACCGGTTTCGAAGTTACAACTTCATCTTCAGCCTTTTTTCTTTAATTTTTTTGTTTTTTCCTGTTTCTCATATCGTTCAATATCTGGTGTCAGTTTCCTGTGCTCGTTACATAATTAATTAATTAAATTTTTCTATACCTTTTTTGTTTATGTTTTAGATTGTTTCTAATTAATAATTTTTATATTATACCACGTTGTAACTGTACCTTCATCTTGACGACCTTTATAATTGTACGGTTTTCATTTTTTAACTACATTTCAAAAATTTTAATATTTCGAATTAGTCTTAGCTTTGTTTTTTGACGGTAAGTGATTCTGTATATTTTTATACACTATTTAATTTTAGACTTAATTTGGATATATCCATTTAGCTTTCGGCTGAAGATGAAGTTGTAACTTCGAAACCGGTACCGATTTATATTTTTCAATAAAAGGAAGTTAGAAGTTTTAGTCAAAAATGTTTTCATTGCTTAATCATTTTTCACTTGCAACATGGATAACAATCTAAATCTCAATGGTTTGACTAACGACAATCAGTTTGTCTCATATTTTAGCCTCTTTGAATTTTTCTGCAAAACATATCCAGTTACTTTTTTAACGTCGTTTTTATTAAGTAATCTGAAATCGTTTTCAATTACTTGTTGTATGTAAAATGGTTTAAATTTTCAGACATACCAACAAGCTTTTTCTATTTCCCAAAACCTTTGAAAGACTTCCAACTTAAAGTTAATTAAATAACTACCCTACGTAACAATTTTTGAAACACCTTGTGACATAGAAAAAAGTTAGTTTCTCCGAAACTAAAAGACATAGAAAAAAAGTAGCTTACATGTTATGATCTCGTTTCTTGAGAAACTGCTAATGCTGTTAGTAGCTAGTAAGCTATCGTCTTTTGTTACGCTATCTTACTCATTACATGAGTATTATAAATAAAACATTACATAGGCAATTTTTTACGAAGAATTCAATTTCCAAAATTCAAATAAGAATGCGACGTTACCCACGGAATTATATTTCACAAGATATCCTGAAAGAAGACAACCAAGAACGCAAGATCGTTCATGTTAGCTACTGTTTTTCTATCTTTTTTAGTTTAGGAGTTAGCCTATGCGGACAACGAAATTGGGACATCCTGTACATTTGCGTTACTAAACTCAAATTATCACAACAGAATTAAACCGTTAACTTTTAACATTATTATCGTCTTCACGCAAAATTTAAATTATGACCAATTTTACCGCAACTCTATCTATTTTTTGATTTACATAAATAAATACCTTCTTAAGAAACGTTGAAAACATGTTTTTGATCGTTTAAATCGCTTATTATTACTCTCTTTTATTACCACTTCGATCGTAAAACACAAATCCATCGGTTTCTTTCAGCAAAGACAATAATAACCAATAATAATAAATGGCAATTTTTTTAACTTTTACATCAGTATATTATTATATTAAAAAATGTGTACTTTTTTGCAGTAAAATTTTTATTACCTATTATTTTGAGACAATCCGACAATATTTTATGTACAATTTGGCTATAGTCTATACATCATTTACGTATTTATTTACATATGTAGGTATAAAGGACAGTAAGAATATACATTATGTATGTAACTTTATCATCAATCAACGAGGAATTCCTTTCAAAATTTACAATGCATGGGAATATATGATCACTGTGTTGTTGTTGTGTGTTGAGTGTTTTCTTGGTGAGATTGCGTAGTTGGTAGATGGACGGTTGGCAGGACTACCACTGATGACAATACAGCGTGGTCAGATTTTATTACATCATCGTATTTTGGTGGTGGATCATAATATCCTAAATAAAAAAATTAATTATTAATTGAACAACAAATATAAAAGTTAATTTAAATTATTTTCTATATTTGTCAGCGTCAAATTTCTCTGTTGGTATTATCCTATCCCTATAAAATTTATGTTATTTTCTGACAAACGAATGAAACTAAACAATTAGATAATAAATTTCAATTATAAAATCGAAAAGTAAATTATGTTTTTTTGAATATCGAAAGTTTAAACGTCAATGTGACATAATTTGATTTCAAAACATAATTTCCGGTTTATTTTACCAACTTTATAATATTTTGACAGATATTATAGAATAAAAATAGAGTATTAATTATATTTATATTTTTTAGTTATATACCTGTATAATCAGGTGCACATGGATAAACACCGTGGTTGGCATCATTCTGATTGTCGTAAGGCGGTGGACCATCCGTAGGAACAGTAAAAATTTGTTGGTCGGTTGTTCGTCTTCTTACTAAAAATGAGAATTTGGAAATTTTTTTAGTTGTTGATACAGAAATTTATAAACTTAAACAATTACTTATGATAAAAAATTAGTGAGATATCTATTCACATTATTTGCATTCTCTGATAACATATAAATGTGTTTTGAAGGTTTCCGCTATTAACTGTAAGTCGTATATTCTCTATTTATTGTCGACTTTTGAATTTTAAATTGAAGGCAAAAACTATAGAAGTGTTTACAAATACCTGTAATCTTTTATTATCTTCCTTAAACATAATTGATGTACTTAAAATAATTTGATAAAGAAATTATCACAACGTGACATGTAATGTGAATAACAGACTTGGAAGGATTTTTTAATATGCTATTGTATTGCAATATGAAATAAAGTAAAATAATATTTTTTATATTGAATTAAAGGTTAAAGTGTGCTCTTTAAAATGATATATGATGATGTTGAATGTTAAAATTTTTGATATATAATATTTGTATTTATTTATATGAAAATGACAGCGTATCATACGAAATGTTAAAATATTACCAACCTTAAACAAGTAAAGTCACCAACCAAAGTCATATAAAATCATATCACAATTTATGATGAAATTTTCAACAAAAATGAACTATTAAGATTATTAGATGATTAAGAGTCATTTCAGATGTGTTATAATCTCTTAGGAAATTTTATTACCTTTCTTTTGCAAAGCGCAAAAAATTCGATATTTCTGTAGGAACTTGTGACGTAATTATTTATTAAAATTTGTTATTCCCTATCAAATTTGTCTATGAGGGCAAAAGGCTTGGGATGAAAACACTTCGAGCAATTGCTGGCTATTTTTTGCTAGATCGCATAAGAAGCGAAGACATTAAGGAAAAATATGGGCCGAAAATCTCCAGAGAAAGAAAACCACATGGGAGCAGACCTCCTGGACTTCCTCCAAAGAGGAAGTACGAAAGCTGGAGTTTAATATATCAGTGAAAACTGTGGACTGTTGAAGAATGATATGGTCGAGCCTTATTATAAGAGGAAGAAGAAGAAATCAGTGCTTTTTCCATATTCTAAACTCTTTGAACTTTCTGGAAAACATCTCCATTGACTTTTCTACCTTTTGGTGTGTTTCTCAAGTAATCTGAAAAAGTGTTTAATAGATTTGACCCATTTTGACACACACCAATCAGCTTTTCCCATTTTTAAATCTCTTTTAGTTTTTCTGCAAAATAATTCCAGTAACATTTTTAACTTCTATAATTTCTCAACAAGGTATTTTAATTTTCTTTGAAACACTTCCAAATAAAATTTGTGACGTAATTATTTATTAAAATTTGTCATTCCATATCAAATCTGTCTATGAGAACAAAAGACTTCTTCGATGCCTTGTTCGACCATAATGTTCCACCGACTCTTTGTGATTGGATTGAGAACACTTTTAAACATAGGATAGTTAAGCTTAGGGCTGGCGATGCCAGTCTCCAAGGAAGTGTTACTGCAGGCTGTCCACTAGGGGGTGTACTATCCCCACTTTTGTGGAACCTCACCCTGGATAACCTCTTGAAACGCCTCGCTGAAGTCAACTTTACTACAGCTGGTTACGATGATGATTTAACCATTCTCGTCAAAGGCAAGTACATAAACGTACTTTTTGATAGGATGCAAGTAGCTCTCAAATTGATAGAGACTTGGTGTGACGAACAAAGACTCTCTGTGAATCCTAAGAAGATAGAGTTGATTTTTTTCACACGGATGAGGAAGTTTGGCAAGCCCAGAATGCTATCCCTTGCTAATACTCCATTGGTGTTGTCAAAAGAAGTCAAATATCTGGGCACCACACTTGACAATAAAATGACATGGAGAGCGCACCTAGATAATAGAGTAAAAGAACCGTACGTTGCATTCGGGAGGGCTATAGGTAAGACATGAGGTTTGTCACCCAAAAATGCCCTCTGGATTTATACGGCTGTAATCCGGCCTATGTTTACATATGGTGCAGTAGTATGATGGTCAAAGACCTTACAGTCTACATCCACTGCTGCACTTAATAAAGTACAGAGACTTGCGTGTTTGTCTGTTAGAGCTGCTCTGCGGACTACCCCCACTGCAGCCATGGAAAACATGTTGAACCTAACGCCACTTCATTTGTTCATTCAAGAGGTGGCACTGATGACCATGATTGGACTGCGAGTAGCAGGAATTCTAATTGATGAGAGATATAGTAAAAAGAGATATAGTAGAGGTAAAAAACAGCATTAAAATCTACACTGATGGTTCAAGGACACGGGGAGGAGGTGGAGCCGGAGTCTTCTCGTACGAGCTCCAACTCCACGTATCTGAACCTCTAGGTAAAAGTACCACCGTCATACAGACGGACTTAATCGCCATACAACATGCCGCTGACGTTATTGTCAGATCCAACTTGGTAGGTAAGACTTTTACAATTTACACTGACAGTAGACAAGCCATTTTAGCCCTGAGTAGAATAACAATTACGTCAGGACTTGTTATGGGTTGTCATGTGACATTGGAGAAGGCCGCAGTGTATAACTGTGTTATACTTTAATGGACAAAAGGACACTCGACTTGTTCATGTAACAAGCACTCTGATAGGCTGTTCGCCTGAACCGATAATCGCTTCGTCCTTATCAACTCAGATTGAGATAATTAAAGATTTTACCCACAAAAAGGTTATGAACTGGTGGGATAGGGTTAAAGGCTGCTATCTGTCTAAGGAAGTATTACATTATCCCTCAGCAGAGGCAGCCTTGTCTTTCGTAAGGTTTGGTGGAAACGCTCTACGAACTGTAACGGGACTCGTCACGGGTCACTGTAAGGTAAACAAGCATCTTTATAACCTTAAGCTTGCTGTTAGTCCTCTCTGTCAGGAGACGGTTCGACACATCTTGTGTGATTGCCCCACTTTGCAAGACCTCAGAATGAGAGACTTCGGAGAGGAATGGCCGAGCACAGATGGCATCAGGAACACACCTCCGAGCTGTAGTCTAGCCTTCGGAAATTCCTTAGGCTGGTTGATGTAGCCGGAGAGAGTGCAGGAGGATCCTGCAGGAGGAGAGGGTTAGGTGCTGTATGTGGAAGCATACCCTCCCCTTTCCTACATACAAGGCTTCTTCGTAGCACAGGGAAAAATTTGGGCAAATAAATTCCAGAGAGGCAAAACCACATGGAACCAGACCTCTTGGACGTCCTCCAAAGAGGTAGTACGAACGCTGGAGTTCAACATCCCAGTCAAAACTGTGAACTGTTGAAGATTGACAAGGCCTATTATAAGAAGAAGAAGAGGAAATTAGTGATACTTAAACTTTTGAAACTGAACATGTTTTGAAATTGATATGATATCTGAAACATCACACAGTTTTTTTAATAGACACGCGGCATAACCTGGAAGTTTCTAGTTTTATACTCAGGGACTCAGACATAGAAATTGCAATACCACAAGGGGTATATTCTTGACCATACTGGGCAGAAACGTTTAACTACCAAAACGTAGCAATTGATTAAAATTTCATTCATATGGCTTTGCCAATTGTTGGTTTGGGCAAAGGTACATCGACTCTAGAGCCTTATCCGCAAGTGACCACGGCATTGTGGATGTGTATGATGCTTTATTATAGTATTAAACAAATTTGTGTCGATGTCATATCAACTCCATCGCCTCGGCCGGAAGCAACCTCACCGTTTTGAGTATATATGATGTTTTATTAGAATGTAAAACACCTTGTGTAAATATCACATCAAGTCTAGCGCCTCGCCCGCAAGTGGTCCTGCCCTTTTGTATCGATATCATATCAACTCTAGTGCCTCGGTTGCAAGCGACCTCGGCGTATTGAACGTATATGATGTTTTAATGCAATGTTGATCGACTTGTGTAAATATTAACCCAACGTGGAAATTTAAAGTTAGTCTGCAAGGAAATGGATAAGAGAAGGTAACAAACGTTTCAGAAAAGGAACTGATGGCAAGTAATCAATAGGAATAAGACTGTTTTGGTATTGTTCCAAAAATGGTGAGGTTATGAGAAATGGACAACGTATTGACATAGTGAAAATTCACTATAAAAATGGTGAGATGATCATAATTTCTTTTCGCTCTGCTATAGTACAGTTAATCCATAAATTTGAGAGTTTCAGACATTTTAGTGATGAGAACGCCGCCGTAGCTGAGAGTGTGGATAAAAACCCAGGTTTGTCCGTTTCAAGACGTTCACAGGAATTGGGCTTATCAAAATTCATTTTCTTTTGCCCCGAAAATGATGCTATGAATGTGGACGACGTTTATTTTCAGCATGATGGAGCAACATGCCACACTGCTCGTGAAATGATTACTTTATTGCGCGAAAAATTTTCTGAACATGCAATTCCTCGAAATGGAGACATGATTTGGTCGCTGACATCGTGTAATTTAACAGCATTGGACCTTTTTCTTTCGGACTATCTTAAAGATAAAGTGTTCCAGCAACGATTCAAAGACAATATGAGAGCTTTTACTCGTGAAATATTGTTATAAACATTGCAATAATTTGACATTACTTATGAAACGAAATTGTATTAATTTCTATTAAAATTTTTTAGATAGTACTTAGATAGCGATCTAAAAATAAGATTTAGATTATAGTATTTGTATCTAAAGATTGAGTTGTTATCGATGACGACAATAATTTACTGTTTTATTCCATCAAATGATAATTATTAAACTAATTATATTTACGATGACTTGTATCTTATAAGTTATCCCAAACTAGAAATCTGAAGTGTACAAGCTAAATGATAATGGTGTAAAAATATATGTTCACTCTCCATCCGTTTCGTTCAATCTCAATACAACGCAAAAAATGTTGGCGTCGTTTAGGTAAAACACACAACTCTTTATAATTACCCAATCTGTCTTGATAACAACATTACGAGGTTGTAATATTCCATCAAACGATAACCATGGTAAACATTGCAAATATTTGCTTTAACATGAGAGATATCACTTGCATTAATGTCTACATAGGTAATGTGTGTCTATGATATATTTTATCAGTTCTTATTAAAAATATGAATTAAGCCAATCTATTTTAACCCACCGTTAACATTTTTCGTTAATTAAAAAAATGAAAATGTTAAAATCATTTAAATTTATTAAAAGTATCTTTAATTATTTACCGTGATCTTGAGCGTAAGCCTTCCTAATTTTCTGTAATAAACTGCACAACGACACAATAAACAGAACGATAAGTGCTACAACGATAATTAGTTCGAACCCCATCCTAAAATTGTAAACATGTCCGTTTTGTTGAGAAAGTCGAAACGCACTGTTTCAAAATTCTTACATGACTTCACTATCCACAGTTACTGAATTCCTGATTCCTACTGTCAAATTATTCGCTTGCAATTCATTGGCTATTGATACCATCGGTTTTCCGCGTGTTATCTCCGTTTTGTTGCGATTAGATATTGACGATGGCTGTATGGAGAAATTATCAGTCAAAATAAAAAAAAATAAATTGAATAAAAGCAGAGATAAATCATAAGTCAATATTTAGTAATCTTTTAATCTTGAATGCTTCAAATGTGTATTCTTGGACGATGAGTTGGATCCGATTATTATTCGCTAAATACAGTGTATCATTAAATACCAAGTTTCAGATTTATCTCAGTGTGTTGAATCTGCAATACAAACAGAATAAAAGGGTTTAAGATATATCGTTTAATTTTTATGAATGTTATTGAGAATTAATTTGATTGCGATAATGATTTTTTATTGCTTTAATTTTGAAGAGGGTATTGATTAAGGTGTTATTTTAATTAATTGCTATATTATTGACGGCTTTAATTAAATGTTTTAATAAGTTTATTAGATAACGATCTTATGTGAAACTATTTTTTTGATTAGTTGTTTAGATTTACTTATAAGATTAGTCGTTTTTTTATTAATACGAGAGTTACATATTATCATGTGATTCTCCTTTAGTATTGTAAATTAAACTTTCGTTTGGTTCTTTCTGGTCTAAAGTAATAAGTCAATATTATTTGCAGACTAGAAGGTCTGGGAAACCCATTAATCATCGGAAGAGTTACGTTAGAGTAATTTCGTGGCAGTATTAAAACACACAACACATATTCTCGATATCTTTCGTATGGTATCATTTGATTTCTTTTAAGTGTGAATGTGTTAAGTTAAAATTATCATACTAAAAACCGCAAATGTATTTGGTAAGATTTATTTCAAAGGAATTCATAAATAAAATTAGTTAATTTATCATTTTTCAGATTTTTACCTATAAACGTATTTTAAAAACATAGGATTGAATCATCCAGTGCCTTTAGGTGATTCTACAATAATTTAATCAATGAGGTAGAAAAGGTGTGGATATTTACGACACAATCCATAAAATAATCTTATACTGTAGCCGAATACTATTAAATACTATTATTTGATTTAACCCTTTGTGTCCCGACGGTACTTTAAAGTACCGGTAATTTTAAACACTCATTTTAAACTGTAGTCATCTATTCGGCGCATTTAGAGCTGTCGGTACTTTCTAATATACAAGAAAGTATCTGTATAAAAAATGACACAATCAGCACTGTAGGGTTTTTAGGTATATTTAAACTTATTCGTCCAGATGTGAGGTTAGAAGTTTAGTGAAAAGTGGTCTTGTTGAATTTTGTTGTTCAAAAAGGTATCTCTTTGATAGATAAGGTGTGATTATTACAGATCATTTTAAAAAGAAAGCAGTGAGCTTTAATTTAAAATAAGTCTCATTCCTTAATTTCAATAAATACGGCTTCCAGGAATTTTTAAATTAGCATCTTTTTTGATACTTTTAAGTTATACGAAAATGTAAGTTTTGCTTCAACATTTTTTTTCTCAATATTTTTCCAATCCAACCCAACAATTATTATACAGCATTTTAAAGAGAAAGCTTTGAGCTTTAATTTAAAATTAGTCTCATTCCTTAATTTCAATAAATACGGCTTCGACGAATTTTTAAGTTAGCATCTTTTTTGATACTTTTAAGTTATGCGAAAATGTAAGTTTTGTTTCAACATTTTTTTTCTCAATACTTTTCCAATCCAACCCAACAATTATTATAGAATTAGTCTCATTCCTTAATTTCAATAAATACGGCTTACAGGAATTTTTAAATTAGTATCTTTTTTGACACTTTTAGGTTATACGAAAATGTAAGTTTTATTTCAACATTTTTTTTCTCAATATTTTGCCAATCCAATCCAACAATTATTGTACGTCATTTTAAAGAGAAAGCTTGGACCTTTAATTTAGAATAAGTCTCATTCCTTAATTTTAATAAATACGGCTTCCAGAAATTTTTAAATTAGTAACAACAATTAGCAATCCAACCCAACAATTATTATACAGCATTGTAAAGAGAAAGCTTTGAGCTTTAATTTAGAATAAGTCTCATTCCTTAATTTCAATAAATACGGCTCCAGGAATTTTTAAATTAGTATCTTTTTTGACACTTTTAGGTTATACGAAAATGTAAGTTTTATTTAAAAATTTTTTTTCTCAATATTTTTCTAATCCAACCCAACAATTATTATACATCATTTTAAAGAGAAAGCTTTGAGCTTTAATTTAAAATAAGTCTCATTCCTTAATTTCAATAAATACGGCTTCCAGGAATTTTTGAATTTGCATCTTTTTCCCACTTAGATTATGCAAAAATGTTAGTTTTTGCTCAATATGTTTTTTTTCAATATTCTATCAGATTTTCGTCGTTCTGTAAATACAGGTCTGATAAATAAATATTCAAATTTACTGCGTCCACGAAAGTGTCGTAGCGCAAGTACAAAAGAAAGAAGAAGTTGTGAAAATTATTCTGCCAAAGCTAGACCCCACTCAAAATGTACTGCGTGCAATGTTTATTTATGTTGTAATGAGAGAAAGAACTGTTTTTCTGAATGTCATAATGTAATTTAGATAAAGCAAGTGTTATTTAATTTCTAACGCAATAAAAAAATGTATTATTTTTATATTAGCAATAATAGTTTTTGTATACTGAAAATATATTTTAATGCTTGACGGTACTCTCAAGTACCGTTATCCCCCTGGAGTGGGGCATTGCATATTTTGCTAAAATTGATTCCAAAGGCCTCTACTGAGTGTATTTTGATAGCGTTTTAATTCTGTCACAAAGTTTCAAAATTTTTGACTTCTTAGGACACAAAGGGTTAAAATAAAAAAAAAACAAACGTTTTTGTTCATATTATATTTCTCACGAAAGATGTAGCATAGAATTGTCCTATGTTAATGCATAGAGTTGTCGCTGTCGCTGTTTAAATGTGATAGACCAAGCGACCTCGACATTTTGAGTATATATAATGCTTTATTGCAGTGTTGAACAGGTTTATGTCGATATGAGCAACAAATGTTTCCTGGACATGTCAGTTCATGGTGCGGTCCATGGCTCATCGCGTTATTAAAATATTTATCACAGATTTCCTTCTATAGGACTCCCTGAAATCAATAATAACCCTCGCACAATCGATCAGCTGCTCGATCGCAATGCTGTGCAGATAAACTTATAACGATTATCTAATTAGCCTCGAGTAAGCTGGTGAACTGCTGAGTTCGTCATCTCCTTCAACTGCTCTAGAGGTTACTAATTGCTACTTCTTTATACAGCCACTGCGGAACCAATTTCGGTGGAATTAATTGGGAAGCCATGAAATGGTTTTGTCTAGTGGAAAAAGCTTTCACAATTTTTTATTTATTATTTAATTAGGACTTTTGGTGTTAAATTCTATTCCAATAAAGTACTGTCGAAAGATGTTATTTATAGACAGTGCGCTATCCCATTTCAGATATCTTGTACAAGAAAATAGCTAATCGGGAACTGGCTATGGATGGTTCCTTTGCTCAATATGAGAAAGCTGCTGATCCTACATTTGAAAGTGGGATCCCATATCGAAATAAGACACAATGGACAAGCAAAGAACAACTCTAGGTAGAAAGGGGCATTGCTGGGAAAGAAGTAGAGCTAGAGATGAAGTTTGAGAAATTGGAAGTTTATGCAGGGTGTGTCAAATGTCTAGAATATAGCCAATAACTTCGTCATTTGTGGTTTTAGAGGAAAATATTTCAAATACAAGTTTCTTTATTAACCGTGGCGCATTTTTTGGCGATATTTCCTTGTTTGCATTGTTTTTTGTTTCGTTGCTATGGCAACCAGCATTGTTATTTTAAATGGGAGCATATGTTTTTTTTGCACATTTTAATAGAGGATAAATCTCTCTACGCGATAAATATATCAAATCATATGGTTGTATAAGAAAAAAATCGAGAAAAATTGCGTTCTCTGAAAATATTTAATCAGCAAATTACAATCAAAGTAGGTGTCGAAATAATGCCGTTGACAGCTTTAAATGTCAAAAAATTGATAGTTTAAACAAATATGGCGCAATTAAGCGAACGACAAAGAATTCAAATATTAATAATGTATGGGTACGGTGATAGAAAACGCAATCAAAGTGAAGTTTGTACACTGTTCAATAATATTTACCCGGATACACGAATTACACAATCCACAGTATCGAAAATATTAAAAAAATTCTTTAACTGCGAAAGTGTTAAAAGTTGTTCCAAAAAGTTGATGGCCAAAGACAGCTACCAATGACCATATATTATTAATTATTTATAATTGTTGAAACTCTAATTTTTTTGACATTTAAAGCTGTCAACGGTGTTATTTTGACACCAACTTTGATTGTAATTTGCTGATTTAATACTTTCAAAAAACGCATTTTTTCTTATACAACCATATGATTTGATATGTTCATCGCATAGAGGGACTTATGCTCTATCAAAGTATGCAAAAAAAATATATGCATCCCATTTAAAATAACAATGTTGGTTGCCATAGCAACGAAACAAAAACAATGTAAACAAGCAAATATCGCCAAAAAATGCGCCATGTTTAATAAAAAAACTTGTATTTAGAAAAACATTTTTCTCTAAAACCACAAATGGTGAAGTTATTGGCTATATTCCAGACATTTGACACACCCTGTATAATGGAAATAACAGAAACAAAGAAAAAGAAAATGGAATTTATAAATTTCTCAACGAAAGTGTATTAACATCAGTACAGAAAAGCAATAGCAGTGACGGCAAAAGGATGGTATGACGATTTGTAGAGGAATTACTAAGAGGGGTTTTAGATGTTGTGGATTATCTACCCTATGTATACATGATCATTGACACCAATGTGCCAAGTATGCTTTTCAATACGGTAAAAATGATTTCAGAAAGACTACTGATAATTTTATTGGAAAAAAAGATAATATCCTTGCACTATTATAAGTATAAAAATGTGCCCCTATACAAAACTGTCTCTTTCTTCTTATGCCCATAGCTCCTAGAAGGAGCAAGCGGTGCCGATCGGCATTTGGTCTATTGGAAATGGTTTTTCGGTTTTCCTGCTGGCGTTTATTCAGGTCATGTGAAACCCATTTTCCAATCTTCTGGGTCTTTCACATTATTTTCAAATTACCTAGAGTATGCTCACCATGAATGAAATCAATACTGTCATAACTATATATTATGCTGTTGTATGAAACTTGTACATATGTAAGTTTTTTTCATTTTTTTAAATGGCTCTGCGGGATCCCAGCCCAAGCTACAGTGCAAAACGACTAAT